TTAAAAGGATAAAAAATATTTAAAAATCTAATTTTTTAATAAAAATATTGTTTTTTAACAACTTGAAACTATGTAAAAAAATATTTTCTTAAACATTAATACTTTTTGAAATAATGAGTGTTCTTCGATAAAAAAATCACCCTGTATACTTCTCCGGAATTTAATTATATCATGAGAAATACTAGAAAACGCATATGATCATACATGGTTTATATACAAAACAAATATACCATTAAATTATGATAAATTTATTTTTGAAACTGGTTTTTTTAGGTTCGGTTCCAGTCCCTGCTTTAATCACAATAATATCTTAAAATGTAATTACTTATACTCCGTTCTACGAGAGAGTGCGACTGGGTGGAGACCAAAACGTGTTAATTTTCGAGAATCCCAACACATTCTTGTTAATGTTGCCTACCATCGGTATTTGTCGATCGCCGTGGTATCGTTGTCTAACGACGTTGTTATGATAAAAAGAGCGGTTACTGGTGTAATCATGTTTATTATTATTTATTATTACATGTTTTATGGTAGTTTTAACTTTTAATAATAAAAAAGTAATTATTAAAATAAATTATACTTTTATCATAAAAAATAACTCCTATACTTATATATTATATTATAATGGTTAGTCGAGGTTAGGTTAGGACGCCACGTGGGGGGGGGGGGAATTTGGCCTCGTGACGTAGGAGCTAATTCATTTCGATGCCCGTGGCGGTATCACTCTCTCGTGGAATGGAGTATAGTAATAATATATGTTGAGAACCCATGTTCGTGATGTTGTATCATTGAATTAAAATTTAACACATCCATTACAGTGACTCTCTAGACACCTAATTACAGTATACCGGGTCTTGGGACGGAACTAATATATCTTTGAATTCAATTTTTATGTATACTACATTAGATGTCTAGAGAGTCACTGTAATCAGCTGCATCCTAGTTCCATGCCAAGAACCTTTTTTGTACCAATTCCGTCCCTGTTAAAAAGGTATACAATAATTCCATAACAGTTAAAAAAAGGTATATAAATATAGGTATACTAATTACGCCCTTAATATTTTTCATAATTTAATAGTAATATTTTATATAAATATTGTTGTAATAAAATACATATGAGAAATATAGGTATCTAATATTAGTTTATTTTCATAATTTAATCGTAATTAAACGTAATAATATAATACATTATAATAATAAAAGAATCAGTAAATACTAGTCAAAGTCAAAATGTCATTTATCTAGCTTATCTAGACCTTCCTACTCACATTCAACGTTGAGAAAAAGCCGTCTATTTTTATCCCTATTCCCGTGGCCCACCCTGTGTATAGGATACTATCCATATTTTATATTATAAATCAAATGTCACGGACACGCACAAATAACGACTTAAAGTTTATTTGGTTCAATTACTGAAGTCATATTATCTTTATTTATAAATAATATGATATTGTTAAGTTTTATTTGAAATGGGACTGAATTGGTATATCCATCCAAAAAAAACCTGGACGGAACTAGTATATCTTAAAATTCAATTTTCGTATATGCGACGGAACTAGAATGCAGCACGATTACCAGCTTTTTTTAACTTAAACACCAGAAAAATTATCAAAAAATAAATTACTGTTCCACGTGGCCATTGTTTCTTTAACATAAAACATACGTTAACTTATTAATGTAGGGCGCTCGGAACTATACGTTTGGTAAATTCAACTAACTTACTTTTTACTATAGAGTTTTTTTCTACCAAACCTACAAAATGAAATAAGATACCTAGTATTAATTATAATTTATAATTTATAATTATATATTTTAAATTTTCCTCTACAACATTTTAAAACTCAGATGACCTTAAATCTTTTATTTTTCACTCACAATTTACTAACTCATCATTCTTTTATGGTCATATAATAAACGAGTTCAAAAACCGACTACTATAAAATCATAATTATAATGATGTTTATTATTTATTCAGGATTAGGTAATACAATAGAAAATATATAATAACTAAATTATTTTTAAACAATTATTTTATCTTAAATTGGTAGAATACCTAATGTACTACATGATGTCATAACCGTACAAATATAATAATTACTCATTATTGTATAAATTACAATTTGGTGATGAACACATTGTTAGCTTGATACAAAATAATGTTATATTAGCATGTATAAGATACAATCATACTTCATAGATTAAATCTATCTCTGACATATTTTTCCTTGGAACTTGTACTGTTAGATATAGAACATTGAATACTTGTATGGTTATGCACAATAGTAAGTTTATCCTTTAACTGTGTATTTTTGTTAGTTGATAATCGACAGGTTTAGAGTAAAACCATTGAAATTATATGACAATATTAAAAAAAAAATGTTTTATTTGTTTTTTTACATTTCAAATATTTTTATTAAGTACAAAATTTAAATTCTATTGATATTTCATCGGTGAAATTTAATTGATTTGTATTAATAAATTAAAGTTAGGTAGGTAGGTAAATAAAATCTATAATAATGTTCTTACTTAAATTATATGATTTGATGGCATTTTTGAATTTATTTTTCACTAATAAAATATACATAACATAAATTGTATTATTTATTAGTAATTTATTACATTCTACATTTATATGTTATTTTATGATTTATATTCCTTCCTCATTAATTTATTAGAATAATATTTCATATCCCACAAAAATACCCAATGACAGTGGCAGATATATTTTTTAAATCTGGTTTCAGTAGCGTTTTGCACACCAAACAACACATATACTTCACTTTCGCAGTTCGCGAAATAGTACTAGCTAAGTTATTACAATTTTTTTGTTAATGTTTCCAGTGCAAACCACGGCTATCGGATGGATGGTAAGTTTTTTTATAAACAAATATATTTTAAGTGAGTCACGCTCAAACTAAACGAATTACACAATAAATGCAAATATGGAAGTCTCAAATCCACGCATAATATAATAGTTAATGCTAGTATTTGGACACAAATACAAAACGAAAAAGCGACCTTGAAACATATGTTAACGGAACTCCAATTAAACAATGAGAAATTACAACTTCAGTTTCTGAAATGAACACTGGAAGCTCCAGAGAAATGTTGACCTTGCCAAAAAAACCAATCAAAGTGACGGAAGAAGCAGCAAAAACTTCTGTACAAATCCATAAACCACCTATAATAACAGTATGTGGTGTAAATGATTTTAAATAATTAATGATTAATTTATAACTCGAAGAAGCTGAAGGACACGAGTAACAAATGAAATCTTTGGCTAATGGTGAAATTAAGATACTAACTTACGACGAAATACAAAAGTGTTAGAAGAGCAAAAATTTGAGTATCACAGATACCAACTTACAACAGAAAAAAAGTTTCTGCTTGTAATTCGTGAATTACACCCTGAAACTGACCCCTGTGACATTAAAAGCGATTTATCCGGAGACATTTTGTACATAATGTTACGAACATTCAAATTAAAAAAAAAAGTTGACCCTAACAACAAGCTCAGTGATATGACTATTTTAAGGATTTCATTATTCTTCTTGGATTTTTAACCACAAGCAAACAACAAAGATATTTATGATATTAAAAACTTGTGCTATCATATAATAAAATTGGAACCTCCAAGGAAAAATAAAGAAATTCAACAATGCAAAAATTTCCAAATATTTAGTCACGCTCAAAACTACTGTTTCAAAACACCAAAGTATGTAGAATGTAGTGAAGGATATACTTCACTAAATTTTCTCAAGTCTAAGAAATCAAAGGCGAAATGCGCAAACTGTGGTGAAGACATACTGCAAATTTTAAAGGATGCATCACCTATAAAAATGCATTAGAAAAAGCCCACGCTAAAAAAAGTACAGCAGTACAAAGAATACAACACCAGTCACTCAAGAAGTTTCTTTTCCACATATGGATAGTTCTTATCAAATCAAAAGGATTTACTGACTCAAACCAGTACACAACCAAAAAAAAAAATGTACCGTAACCATCTGACGTTATGGCAGCATTAACACAATTAAATGAGGGACTGGACAGGCTTGAAAATAGCCAGCCAAAAACCAAAACAGAAAATAAAAATAAACGAGTAGAACGCTTCGAATCATAACAAGGAACGCTAACGGACTTGTACAACGAAAACAAGAACTTGAACATCTTATGAATAACGAAAAAATTGACATAGCTTTAATTTGAGAAACCCATTTCACAACGTGGACCACTCTAAAATTACGTGGCTATCGAATATATACAACAGAACATCCAAGCAATCACACTAGAAACTTCAATCGCTAATTAAAAAAATTAGGGTCGACATTATTTTACTTGGAGAAACCAAACTAAACCCAAATACTAATATCAAGTTTAATAACTTCCACATCTACAGATCGGATAATAAAGCGCGGCCCGGTAATCCTTCATACGGGGGAACTGTCGTTCTCGTCCACAAACGCATAATTCACCGCCAAACTATTTTAAAAACATCAATGAAATCTACGTCAATTGACATATCTATAAACCAACACATCATTCGAATATCTTCAGTCTACAAACATTGAAGCGTTCCATTCGTCGACAACGACTTTTGTGTGCTGTTAAACGGCTGGGATTGGTTCATAGTTGCGGGCGACTTAAACGCGAAACACCCGTTTTGGCACAGCCGCTGCATAAACACAGCCGGTCTAGCACTTTGCAACTACGTCCAAAACATGGACCTTACAGTCGTAGCTCCCGACTCGCCTACTTTCTTCTCGTCAATACCAAATCACCGCCCGGACGTACTCGACACCACGTTTAACTTGAGAAATATTACCATGGCAGGAGTACCCATCCCGTGGACAAACCATGCCAAGTACCTCGGAGTCATTTTTGACAGATTTGTAACCTTCCATAACCACGTTAAGAATACTCTTGTCGAAGCGCGTAGATGCAAAAACATGCTATCCCCATCCTAAATAGCCGAAGCCCAGTGCAAAATACAAATCTACCTCATGTATATCAGACCTCTCCTAACATACGCCGCCGAGGCCTGGGGCCCTTGCATCTCGCTTTCAAACTGGAATCTCATTGATTCAGTTCAGACCAGTTGCATACGGACCAGCGCTGGCCTCATGAATTTCGTATCCAACCAAAACGTTCGAGACTCTGCCAGACTAAAAACCCTACGTGAAGTAGTCACAGACAACCCAAAACGCATATTCGATCGAAACACCTTCTCAAATCATAACCATATAATAGAATTAGGCCGTGACGAAGCCGAATTGACAATTAAGACAACTCCAAAAATACGACCATTCGATTGGTCACATACATAAAATCCAAAATCTATATCTGTATCTAATAATCTCTTTGTCATTTCCATCAACTCTTAATAGGCATCCACCTGAATCAATGGCCGTCAATCAATGGTCGTCCTACATGCAATACAATCACGCTCATGGAGGAACTGCAGTAATAATAAAAGAAACAATTAAACATTATGAACTTGATAAAAATCCTCAAGACATTTACAGGCAACTAGTGTCCATATTAATAACGGCAACAACAATCTATCTTTGCTATTTATTGTCCACCAAGACATAAAGTAGATGACAAAAAGGTAATTGAATTCTTTCAGACACTCGTTCACGGATTCATTGCTGGAGGAGATTATAATGCCAAACACACTTTTTGAGGATCGAGATTGATTACCAAATAAGGGTGGGAATTGTTCAAATCAGCATATACAATTAAAGCACAATTAATTTCAACTAGAAAACCAACATATTGGCCGACTGACCCAAATACATTTCTTACTGACTTTTACGTAATAATAATAATATACAGTAGAACCCGTTTAAGACGCTCTCGCTTAAGACGATTTCCCGGCTAATACGCTCATTTTTACGAGTACCTTGATTTTGACAACGTTTAACATAGAATTAACTCTGGATAATACGCTCTATGTCCCCGGATAAGACGCTCGCCTTGTCAGTTATATTAATATAAAAATACATCGTATATACGTATCACTAATAATATGTAACTAAATAATAACGATAACGAATAGTGTGTACGTGTTAGTAGTACTGGTTTTCGGGCGATAAGACGATTAGATACGACACACTACACAGTACACATGGCTATTCACGTAATCGGAATATAATCGGATATGGCCCCAGTTAACAAAAGTTAGTGGTTGTATAAAGACGTATAGTAAAGTGTAATTTATTTTATCCTCTTTAAGTGTAAATTGTTCGAGTTAAATTTTTAATTATGGCTGATCGTGGAGGAATTAAACGAAAAGCTCTTTCTGTTACTGACAAGTTAAACATTTTAAAAATGTACGATGAAAAAAGTGTCAACAAAAATCAAAAAGAAATTGCAAAAGAAATGGATTTACCTGCATCGACCCTACGAACAATTTTGGCAAACAGAAGTAAAATTGAGAGCAGTGCAATGACCGGTAGTTGTAAACGACAAAAAATAAAACATGGTAAATTCGATGAACTAGAACATATTTTGTTGGAGTGGTTTAACCAAGCACGTACTTTAAATTTACCTGTGAATGGTAACATTGTCACCGAAAAAGCACATGAAATTGCTAAACGGCTTAATATTGATGAATTTTCTGGATCTGGTGGCTGGATTGATCGGTTCAAGAAAAGGCATGGTATTGTATATCGACAAATTTGTGGCGAAGCAGAGTCCGTTAATGACGCTGATATCGCTGCATGGAGTGAAAATATTTTGCCAAATATTTTAAAAGAATACTCTTCTAATGATATATTCAATGCAGATGAGTTTGGGTTATTTTTTAAATTGATGCCTGATAAATCTTTGGTGTTTAAACGTGAAAAATGCCATGGTGGCAAACTAAGTAAAGAACGTCTATCAGTTTTGGCATGTACAAATGCTACTGGCTCTCAAAAGTTCAGACTTCTAGTTATTGGAAAAAGTAAAGCTCCACGTTGTTTTAAAAATGTACGTACATTTCCATGTGATTACGTATCAGAAAATCGTGCTTGGATGACAGGTGATATTTTTATAAACTGGATAAAACAATTAGACCTCTCTGTTAAAAAACAGAATAGGAACATTTTACTGTTTGTAGATAACTGTCCTGCACATCCTACTACTATTCCACTTGAAAACATAAAACTTGTTTTTTTACCCCCAAACGCAACAGCCAAATTACAGCCTCTGGATCAAGGTATTATCAAGGTTTTAAAACAAAAATATCGAAAAAAATTGGTTTTACGATACTTGAAAGAAATGGAAAGTAAAAATCCCGCGAAAAAAGTTGACGTACTCGATGCATTACACTACGTATCTGCAGCATGGGATGAAATTACGGCTGATGTCATTAAAAATTGTTTTCGAAAAGCAAAATTTGTTGAGGGTGATTACAGTGCCGTGGAGAAAAGCAGCGAAGATTTTCAAGAATTGGAGGAGTTTCTAGGATATGCAGAAATTGACGAGGACGTTGCCACAAGTAACATTAGAAGCATTGACCAGATAATTACTGATAAAATTGCACCGGCTGATGTAACTTCTATAGATGAAGAAAGCGAAGACGAGGAAGAGGATGATACAACACCGATTCTCCCAGTAGTAAATGCACTTGATTATGTTAATGAGCTAAGAAGGTTAGTTGCATCTTTTGACGACGCTGATGAATCGTTAAATCATCTTAATAAAATTGAAAACTTCCTGTATGCAAAAAACATAAAAAATATGAAACAAAGGAAGATAGATGATTTTTTGAAATAAGTAATATGTATAAAATAATATGCAATATAAATGTAATAACTCACTCAGCAAAGTAAAATAAACATAATAGGTACATGTTTAATATGTACAATATGTAAAAAAAATTTTTGTAAAAAATATGTAAAAAAAAATTTTGTTCCCGCGTAATACGATTTCCTGCTTAAGACGCTATTTTTAACTGGTCCCTTGGAGAGCGTCTTAAACGGGTTCTACTGTAATAATAATGTTTATTTGCAAAAAAATTGTCTTTTTGTAAATATATAACATAACTTATTAAGTATAGTATACAAATAAAATAGTATAAAGAATTGAAATAAGTAAGAGTTTGTAAATAGAAAGATTTTGTAAATAAAGCAATTTCATCAAATTATACGGAAGTTGAAGGAGTATTAGAACTTGCGTCAGATCACATTCCTGCGCTTCTCTCACTAATTAGTTCTGATGTGATAATGAAACAAAAATAATTTTCTATAACAAACAAAAAAACAAATTGGGACCTATTCAGAAAGACCCTCGGAGAAAACATAATTTTTAACTTGATTAAGAACAAAAGCAGATATTAAATTTTCAGTTAAAAAAAATAACCAACGGCATTGTCAGTGCGGCGGAAATAGCAACTCCTTTAGCTATCAATGGTAATTACGAATTAACTTACCCACTAGAAATAAGAAAACTAATCCAACATAAATGTTGAGCGAGAAGAGGTCCCATGTTCAGATACCACCCCTCCGTAAGGAAGACGGCCCCTGGGCTCGCAGTGATCAAGAAAAAGCCGAAATATTAAATGAAACAAGTATTTATGCCAAACATTATTGACTCTGAGCTTGACATTTTGCAATGCCAACCACTTAATGCAGCACGCGAAAAAATCAAACATTTCTCGCCGTTAAAAATTGCTAAAGAAATAGACAACAACTTAAACCCAAAATAAAACAACTAGGCTATTATGAAATTAGTCTAAAAATACTGAAAGAACTTCCAAGGATGGCTATCATTCATCTTACACACATATACAACGCTATTTTGCGCACGGAATACATTCCAGAGCAATGGAAACGGGCACAAGTTATCATGTTGCTCAAACCAGGGAAACTACCTGAAAATGTCGCATTATACCGATAGATATCACTCCTTCCAAGTGTATCTAAAATTTTAGAGAAACTTCTGCTTTAACCAATTATAGAGGAAAAAAAAATCTTATACCAGAACATCAGTTTGGATTTCGCAACAAACATTCAACAATCGATCAAGTACATCGAGTTAATAATGTGATTAATAAAGCTCTTGAAGAAAAAAAATACTGTTGTGGAGTATTCCTTGAAGTAGCCCAGGAACAAAGTATGGCACAAAGGATTCCTCATCAAACTGCTTGACCATCTGCCACATACCTGGTGTGCAATTCTTGAATCATACTTGACCAAACGTCAATTTCGAGTCATACACGAAGAAGCGATAACCGAATGGAAAGATTTATCAGCTGGAGTACCACAGGTAGTGTTTTAGGACCTATTCTGTACCTACTCTATACAGATGATATACCAAACTATGATAACATAAAATTAGCTATGTTTGCCGATGATACAGCAATTTTGTCGACACGTAATAGACAGCTTATTGCCACTGATAACTTACAGAGGTCAATTGACAATATTTTTGCCTGGACAAGACGTTGGAAAATTAAGATCAATGGCGATAAATCGGTGAGTTACTATACGTTACGCAAAACCGTAAACACCCAAATAGTACTGAATCAATCACCAATCCCACAAAAAGATTCAGCAAAATATTTTGGAATGCACCTGGACTCTCGTCTAAACTGAAAACACTACGTCCGTCAGAAAAAACGGACCTCACTCCGAGTTAACCATCGAAAACAAACGTCTACTGTATGTAACAATTATAAAACCGATCTGGATATATGTCATTCAATTGTAGGGTTGTGAAAGTACGTCTAACATCAATGCAATACGACGCTGTCAAAACGGTAATATTTAAAAATGCCCGAGGTAAAAATAACTATGGAAAAAATACCCTGTAAAAAATACCCACTGGTAAAAATCCCCGTCGAAACAATACCCAGTGGAAAAAATACCCGTGGAAATAATACCCATGAAAATAATACACCATGGAAAAAATACCCAATATAAAATATAATATCCAACATAAAATATACAAATCGACTGCTATTTATGTACTACTGTATATATATGTTATACATAGCAACTTCGTAATCTCGTAATCTCGTAATCTTACACACTTGGTATTTCCTAATTTCGTATCACGTATAAGTTATATTTTAACTATATTGGACTATTTAGTTAAATGTTGTGTTTCGTCTGTCAGTCAGTTCTTTACTTCTACCGTTTTCGTATATGCGATCTACAATCAGTGGTCAATAGTTTTGATTTTGTGGATATCAAAGGTAATTAAATTTAATATTAGATGTTAATGTTACATTTCAATATTCAAATATTTTAACTATAGATGAATGAAGAGCTGAAAATTATCACATCAAACAAAAAAAAACGAAAAACTATGCTACAATGGTTATATTATGTACGTTATTCATCACAAGCTGAAATCGTATCTTCGATGTCGATGCTCGAAATACGGATCCTTAAACTGCCGATCAGTGTTAAAAACTGATCCCGAAAAAAAAATCCAAAAATTGTTGTTGAACATATACACGCAATGGATAGCACAGACGTAAATGTGACGATATGTGTGGGAGAAATGAAGGTAAGCCATTAATAAGTCATAGATTTTTTTTCATAACAATTATTGCACTACATTATCTCGATAATTATAATTTAATGTATGATTAAAAACGGATATCAAAAATATCAAAAACCTATTATTAAAAAAAGGGGTCAGTGGGTCACTGTATAATGGATGGTATTAAATTTGAATTCAATGATATTATTGTGAGTTTTAAATTTTCATTCCTTAACAATAAAAGTTGAACATTTTATACATTTTTAACTACAAAATAATTTTAAATTTTAAATTTGATAAATGTTGTCAAAATTCGAACTTTAAATGCTTATAAAAAAAATGTGTACCTATGTATTTTTTCTATTTTTCAATAGTTATTGTAACAATATATCAGGAGCCTTGTATTAAATTTTCATGATTTTTGATCCAATAATTAAAAATCTATTGGTTTTTATATAAAAAATAACTAAAAAAATTGAAATTTGAAATGGTCCGTAAAAAGCTCAAAAAGAGTCAAAATATATTCAAAATTGTATGGTGTATAGAAAATGCTAGTATAAATAACATTCAGTGAAATTTTTAAGTATCTACAGTTAGTTAAAATAAAATAAGAAAATAACATATTTTATAATACTTATATAAAAGGCAAAAGCGGCTATAAATAGAGTAAATCCTTTACAATTGTACGCAGAAGGAATATTACAGTTGGATGACAATGCAAGAGCACATTTGCCCTCTAAAGATACCGTAAAACGCACTCTTCGTAATCAACGGTCCAATAAATATCCAAAATGTCCTACGACACTGGATGAATTAATAATTGAAGATATTAAGCTATATAAATGAAAATATTATGATTATATTATATTTTTATGCAACTCTGCTTTATAAGTCTCGCACATTTTTTATCTTAGGTGAATGGTGTACAACCGGAGAGCCTGACGGTCATCGATTCTTACTTCATGATACTGGTACTGATTCTGATGAAAGAATAATAATATTTTCCACTGATGCTTGTCTTCAACATTTGACTGAAGTTGATACATGGTATATGGATGGGAATTTCGACTTTGCGCCTCCGCTTTTCCAGCAGCTATAGGTTATTAGATGTAAAATCAACAAAGTATTTACAACTATGGTATACTGTTTGTTGGAGCGGAAAACCCAATCTACTTATGAAAATGTGTTTAATATTATTCTAAATGAATGTGAAAAGCGTAATTTAAATCCCGAACCAATGAATATATACATCGATTTTGAAAAAGCCGTAATTGAAGCTGACAAAAATATTTTAGATGATCATATTACAATCCACGGCTGTTTTTATCACCTATGTCAATCCACACATCGTAAAATCCAAACATTAGGTTTAGAACGTTATTATAGAGAAAAAGAAATATTTAATCAATTTTAAGGTATGTTAGATGGATTAGCATTTTTACGTATAGATGATGTTATTAAAGGTTTAGAATTTTTAAAAAGTGTTATTCCCGATGAAGGGACAGACCTTGTAAAATATTTTGAAACCACTTACGTAAACGGTTGTCCCAAAATATTAGGTAAAAATAAAAGAATTATAGTTAAAAACGTTCCGGCTCCATTCCCTCCTTCTGTTTGGAATGTACATTTAACCACTTTAAATGATAATAATCGGACAAATAATCAAACTGAAGGATGGGACCATCGCTTTTCTAAACTTTTTAATCAAACACATCCATTCATATGGCATTTAATTGAAAAAATGCGCCTAGAAGTCGTTGTTGACAGCACGCATTTGTTACAAAGAGAATTAGGACAACCGCCCCCAAAAAAATTAAAAATATTGACTGCTGAATATCATAATGGTGATAGAACCATAAATAACTTTTTACATGCAATAAGTAATGTGATAATACATTTAAAATAGTCATAATATTATACTTAATTTTTAATTATTTCATATGAGTTGCAAAATATTAGTACGTTTTTCAAAATATATTATGATATTAATAAGTATTAACCCACATTTATTATTTTATAAAAGTTGCCGAATTATTATTGTATTATTATGACAAATATTATTTTATATGCCTAACTGTATTATTTTTTTTTATAATGATATTAATTATTATGACCAGTCATATATTATTTTATAAAAGTTTCCGAATTATTATTGTATTATTATGACAAATTTTCTTTTATATACCTAACTGTATTAATTTTTTTTAAATGTGCTCAATATAATATCGAATATGAATGTTTGCATTTTTTCAATTTACCTATTAATATGTTTTTTATTTCAGATATTATTGCCAAGGGTATTTTTTCTTTTAGGTAGTATTTCCTCGGAAATATTTTCTATCGGGTATAATTTCCCCGGGTATTTCTTCTATCGAGTATTATTTCTTCGGGTATTTTTTCTTTTAGGTATTATTTCCTCGGGTATTTTTTACCGGGCATTTTTCCATGGGTATTTCTTCCTCGGGTATTTTTTCCTAGATTCGTCAAAACATTGCCCTTCAGCCCATCACTGCAGCATATCGGTTCGAAAGAAACAATACGCAATTCACCTTTATATGAGGCTGCCTACAATAGCAGACGAAATCCAAAGGTTGGCTCACAAACACGAGATGGGGCTAGATCACCATGTCAATCCATTGGTCATCCAACTATTAGATGACTCCAAGGAGATCAGACGTTTTAAGCATCTGAAACCATACGACTTAGTTTAAAAAATTAGATTAAGGAAGGAGGGTCTTCATTAGAAGTGTCTCCATCAACTTGCAATATATATATAATTTATATCTAGTATGTAAAATATGTATAATTTTCAAACATATTTAAGAAGACCTTTAGGTCGTTTAAATAATATAAACCCCAGGGCAATTAATAAAAAAAAAAATCTGGTTCCCAGTTAGTAGTTTGTATAAAGGGTGAGTGTATTTTTTCCAAAAATGAGATATTTGGGTACCGATTTCCTCCAGTCTCAATTTTCTAGAACACAAAAAAAACTAATTTCCATTTTACTCTTTAGTCTAAAACAATGGTAATTTCCCTCAAAATGATAAAAACCAGCTCACAAAAAACAATCATTTTTTAGATGGCAACTATATAATTATTAACTATTATGTCCTCGTTGTATTATATACTTGCCATATTCTATATCCTCTGTGATATTTCCATCTGTTTAAAAAAGAATATTATTTTACAAATTTAATATTGATAATAACATAATCAACGTACCTACTCCTTATTAGTAAAGTATTATAGAGGTTTTGTGTAGATTTAAATTTCAAATTATATTTTACTACTTACTACAGTAATTCAAATTTAAAATCCTTATAATATTATAACAACATGTAACGGGAAATAAAATGTATGAAATAGATAGGTAAATACATCGTTGTACAATCCCAGTAAACACTGTAATGTATATTAGATGTATAATATACCAAAAAGCGTTGACTTGGGCAGGACCGTATTTTGTATGAGTACCTACTTGGACTTTTTGCATGGTTATAATATGTCCACAATTCCACATGGAGTAATTTACTAATTTTCTAAATCAATGATAACTATTCATTTTTTTATTTTTTTTTTTTTTTTTATCGTTTGAAATTGTATGTTGTTAGACATTTTGACATTAATTAAAATAATGTATCATCATTATCTGTGTTTTAAACAATATTTTCATAAAATATAAAGAATTATAACCAGAGCTTGAAACCGATATTTGATACCGATTTTAAATACCCGTTAAAACCATTACAAACCAAAATCGATGCCGAAACCGAAAACAAAATAAAAAAAAAACCTATACCAGTAATCAAAACTGAAATCAAAATCCAAAAAAATCAATACCGGTAATCAAAATCGAAATCAAAATCGAAAAATATAAAAACCGGTATTGAAAACCAAAAACGAAATCAGAAAAAATAAATACCGATATCCGAAACCGAAATCAAAATAGGAAAAAATAAATACCCATAACCGAAACCGAAATCGAAATCGGAAAAGATATTTAAGGTTTCAAGCCCTGATTATTATTATTACAATTAAAAAACAGGTTAATTTTTTGGTGGAGGGTAGTACAGACATCAACGACCCAGAGCTCATAAAAAATACTAATGAATGTATTGTATTTAAAATGATATGTGTTTTTTTTCGTCTGTCATTAACATTTGGGGTTGTAACAATGCTACAATTTTTGACATCAGCATTAATTGGTACTTTTAATAGGTCTATATTGAAAATGTCTAGTAATTTTAAAAAAATGGTAATTTTTACTCAAAACTAATTTTTGAAAAAAATCAATATTATATTCCTGGTGTAACTCAAAAACTAATAACTGTAGACACTTGAAATATTCGAGATATTTAAATTTATGAGAAATTTTTCAAGTTTTGTAAATAATTTCAGTTGGAAATTCATAAAAGTTTTTATTTTCATATCTAGCATTAGACATTTTAATAGAAGATTAACCACAAAATGCTTTAACTTCGGCAATGGAAAATATTTTAACGGAAAGTTAAGCTATTTATATCCATAAGAAATATTTTCGATTTTTATAAATTTTTTTTTAATTATTAAAGTTGAATTTGTATACAAGGGCTTATAGGAGGCCACAATGTACCAACTCAGAATCATTTATCGTATGCAATTATTTATCATTGATTTCAAATATAACACATCCATTCCATTGACATGTTCGACAACTAATACTGTATAGCGCGATAGCAGAGAGGTTACCCATTTGTCTACCTTTTTAATTTGAATACAAATTGTATTAATTGTAACGTTAATATTGTATACTTACTTGTATTTATTTGTACTATTTCGTCTGTTAAGAAAATAATAATACATAATTAATTTATATTGATATTTACCACTGTCTATTTTAATGTATATAATAATTATATGTATACAAATTTAAGCAATACAAATGTATAGATACCTACATTAGAACTTATATAATAATGTTTCTTCGATTTGATATTCTTTTTTTAACATTTTTTTAATGTTTGACATTTCATAATATAATAGGTACCTACTCTTATTGTTTTGGGAATATCTTTTAATATTTTATTAGTTCCTATATACATATTGTGATCTATATATATAAAAATGAATAATCGTCTGTCTGTTTGCCTATCTGTGTGTCCTCTCACCTTTGTTTGCCATGTGTTTTGAAGATATTATAATAATAGTTATTGATTGCCGGGAAACGGAGTGCACCGGATCAGCTAGTTTATAATACAATTGAAACCATATACCAGTTTTCAAATTAAATTTAGTATTTTATTGTAATTTTTCCTAAAAATTTAAAATGGTCAACTATAATTTAACACCAACATTTACTGCGTGTGCGTATGTATGTGTTGGTCAGAATTTAGGATTGCTAGATGAATACTTGTAAGCTAAATGACTCAGTAATTTATCGGGGAGTGGTAAGCTCCTACAAATGTAGGTAGGTAATCTCCTACATAGACATAAATTTAACTTCTACAAAATATAATGTTTACTTCAACAAAAGATAGTGTTGAATCCTACAAAACATAGTGTTAACTCCTACAATCGATGGTAAAATAATAGGTGGTAAGTTTTTAAAAAAAAGTCAAATTAATTTTTAAAAATGTGGACAAGTGAATACCGCTTGTACCGCTGTTGTTTTTTCCTAGAATACTTATATAAATTATCAAATTTAATAATTTCCTCCAGTTTAAATCGTTTAATTAATTAATTAAAATACATTATTAAATATTAAAAAAACCAAATGACTTATGTACATAAGTAAAAAAATCAAAATTATGATAAAAAAAGAAATCAGTAGAAAAAATATTTCTTCGTATTTTTGACATTAAAAATAAAATATCAGTTTTGCAATACATTTATACATATTAAACAAAAACCAATTCAGCTACCTATATAAATAAAAACTTAAGCAATAAACAAATTAAAATAATTCATTAATCAAGTGTTTGTATTTTATCTATACAAATATATATGTATACATGAATAATATTATATATTATTATTCTCAACTTATGGTTTTTAAATACTAAAATCGTGTATTTAAAATTTCAAATAAAATGTTGGAGTGTAGGATATTATCCTATTTTTTTTCTGGTAAAAATTTCGATGTAGGAGATTACACTATCTTTGATTTTCAGGTAAAAATGTTATTCGTGTAGGAATTAGTAAAAGTACAAAGCTATTTACAACATCTACACAATATCACTTAATATTTATATTTTATAATTTACACAACAAATTTTAAACGAAGGTTATTTTTATTGGAAAAACTGTCTACATGACTGATTTTATTATGTTATTTGCATTTAATTTCCTATTTGCATGTAATAAACAAAGATCTGTAAGCTGAGGTTCAACCGCCAAACTGCAGTCGAAAATGTGGCTACAATAGGTAAGTAATGACACATTACACGTAGGACGTAGATACTAAAGATTGTAATATGACATGCGTCGATTTGTATATTATTACGTCGCGCGTCGGTCATTGCATTTATCGTACCTAGGGTTGTAAAATTTCATGAAATTTATTTTCTTGAAATATTTCATGAAATATTTCATGAAAAATTCATGAAATATTTCATTTCCATGAAAAATATATTTTTTTATTTCCAAGTGAACATTTTTAAAAGTTGGTTTATTGTATGAAATAAAGAAAATATGTAACATAGTTACATACTACATACATAAAAATACACAAACATAGACATATAAAAAACTAGATAACCCACTATAAGACAATTTTGAAGTCAGCCATATGCCAACAGGGAAAAATTGCATGATTGATAATATCAAATATGTATATTGTATATATTTGTAATATATATTATATTATTATGTCATAATATTATATAAATATGTATAGGTATCTTATATTCTTATAATCTTATCTATTGA